AAATACAGTGCTGTCAGCCCATCTGGGCTGCTCACCTTACCAATTTTAATTTTCTTTATTGCTTCTTTAATCTCTTGAGTTGTTATAAATTTCTGCCCTTCAGACAGTTGCTCATGCCCTGGTCACCTCACAGCTTAACTACTGCAATGCACTCTACATGGGGCTGCCCTTGAAGACCACCCAGAAGCTGCAGCTGGTCCAGAATGCAGCGACAGGAGCAGCAATGGGCATGCCTTGGTATGTCCATGTAACACCTCTGCTTCGCAAGATGCGCTGGTTACCAGTTTGCTTCCAGGTATGATTCAAAGTGCTGGTCATTACCTACGAAGCCCTACATGGCCTAGGACGTGGTTATTTGAGGGCGCAGCTGTCTCTTATAGCATCTGCCTGGCCAGTTCGCAGGGTTGGCACACTCTGGGTTCCACCAGTTAAACCATGCCACCTATCAGGATCCCACAAGTGCACTTGCCCTCTGGAATGAAGTTCCCCCCAAAATTTGAATGGCCCCCATCCTGCTGGTATTTTGAAGGTCCCTAAAGGCCTGACTCTTTGTCCAGGCTTTTGGTGGGGGCGACTGACTCCCCCTTCCTCCTTTTTATTCCCCTCCAGGTTTGTTTTCTTTGCCATCATTGTTCTTCTGTCTTGTTCTGTTTTTTTGTGGGGGAGTTTTTTGTTTTGTTTTGTTTAATTGCTAAATGTTTTTAACAATTGTAAACCACCCAGAGTCACTGGGAGTCAGGGGGCATATAAATTTAATAAATCATTGTTGTTGTTAAATTTGCTTAACATTTGTCTAAGTTCTTCAATGAGTTCTTTAAGCTCTGAGTGTTGAATATATGTTTTCAAATTTCCTTTGTCTATTTTGTTCCTGGAATATTGCAGGAAAAATTTGCAAGTTCTTCTGCTATTTCCCATCTTGTGTGTAACAGTTTGTTCTCTTTCTCTACTGTACTGCTGTTATTATCCTTCTTTCTTTTTCTTTTCTGATTTGATATGCCAGAGGTTTCCCCGCTTTGCTTGCATTTTCAAAATGATTTTGTCTGGCGTATTTTAACTTCTTTTGGAATTCTGCCATTTCCAATAAATCTAAGTGTAGTTTATCTTTATTTAACTCTTTCAGTGCTTGTTAACCTGGACTTTTATTAAACTGTTCTAATTCCTTTAGTTTTTCTTCTAATTGTGATTTCCATCTGTTACTTTTTTTGTTCCTGATTCATTGCAAGTCCTTATTAAAAATCCTCTCATATAAGCTTTACGTCTCCCATACACTTGTGTCTGGTATCCCTGTTGTATTTCATGTATTTATTTATTTATTTTTAATTAATCCTTCTTTGTATTTCTGCAGTATGCTTTCTTGAAAACTCCAGTGTGGCAGCAAGCCATGTACAGAATTATACTCTATAAACAGTTTCTGGTTAAATTGAAACTGACATCAGACTAACAAGCAATTTTGCCTGGATAAGCCATAGAAGGGTGTGTTTCATGGCTTGTCTTCTTCCTGGAAGGTTGGATTCAGAAAGTGGTACTTAGGGTCCTTCTGTTTCACCTTACGGTCATGTTGGATGCCTAAATATTCCATCTTATTCCCATGCTTGTTAATGCTTACATCCAGAAATTTAAACAGAAATGCAGTTGATGTCTGCTCCTCTTTTCTTTTCCACCTTCAAAGAAAAAATGATAGAGTAGCATGTTCCCAGGGGGCATTTATTTATTTATTTATTTAAAAGATTTGTATGGCCACCCACCTTAGAGCGTAACTCTGAGTGGCTGACAACAATAATCTCAAGGATGCTATGGAAATATTGAACAGATATTTAGTTTGTTTAGAAAATAGTGATGACATAATGTAAGAAATCATAGTGATATGGGGAGATGTAATTGTGAGGAAGTAGATGACAGATATAGTTTCCTCTTCAATGGTATCTGCTCCAAATGCAGAGGTAGCTGGATAAAGAAAGGTGAGGATCAAGCAATGAAAGAGCAAAACAGTAAGATACAGAAGACCTATTTATTTGAGGCTGGGAAATATTTTGATATAAGATGTGTCCTTTTCTCTCAGAGTAATATTCAGTCTTTTCAACCATCCTACCTTTTCTTCAACTAAGGGAAAAGGCAGGATGGCAAGTCCACATGGAGCAAGGTAGGAAGCAATGGCTTTCTACTTCATTTTGGCTAAACGGCCTTTGTCCATGCAGGAACAGATGGGAGCCATGCACAGAGAAGCTGATAATGCAAGGGTTGGCTTTTATGGAGAAGAAGGCATCACCCCATAGAGGCCCACTCTCTTGCATCACCTGATATGCTGGGATTTTAGATAGGTTAGGGGCAAACTGACCTTTAGCTATTTTCTGTGCCCTCTTGGAAAAAGCATAATGAAGCTGGAAAAGATGCAAAAAAAGGAGAACCAGAATGATCAAAGAATGGGAGTCTTTTGGGGGTGGGGTGGGATTTATTTACTTATTTAAATAAAACACAATAAAAATGGGGCAGAAAACTGTTCAGGATTAAAACAGAACAATATAAATGCAGAGATTTTCATGAGAGACATTCAAGAACAGCCAAGTGTTCAAATAGAAAACCAAGTATTCACCTGGGACTGCTGAACAACAAACAGTGTAGGGGCCAGTCTGATCCTGCGGGGAAGGGCTTTCTCAAGCCATTGTACTACAAAAGAGAAGGCCTTGTCCTTCATTCCAGATAATGCCTTTTTCCCAGCCATGAGGTCTTGAAGAGAGTTTCCTACCCACATCATAGATCATAATTAATGTTTTTAAGTATAGAAGTCCAAAATCATCTAAAGGATCCTTCAAACATTAGCTGCAGCCTCTATGTCATCCTCAGGAATGGATCCAGATAAAGCCCCTGCAGGAATCTGTACAAGAAGTTATCAGAGCATGGACGACTGTGGCCAGGCCATCTGTGTTCAGGAAAGGTTTGCTGATGACAAACCAGTTGCAACAGGCCACGTGATATCCAGTGGGCCACCAAGATTCCTTGGGTCTCAGATGAATGAGGTGAAGGCAGGAAAACAGTAAGGTTACACACCTGCTCTTTCATAGGTGTTTACAGAATCTGCGATTTTTTAGTATAAAAAAAAAGGACTAATAATGGAGGACATAATATATATGAAAGTATGCATGGCTTAGGGAAAAGGAATAGGAAGAAACTGTGTTTGTTTGCCCCTCATAGGAACCAGTGTCATTCAATGGCATTGAGTAATGACAATGTCAGGACAGAAGGGAGGGAGGGAGGGAATTCTTTATGTACACTACATAGTAAAACTATAGAATTTGCTGCCACAAGTGAAAATGATTATCCCCATTTTAAGTAGCTTTCAAATGTGAATTCATGGAGGTTAAAGGAATGAATCCCAGTCCTAAAAGTAGTAAGCCTCCCGTTGCCATTATTTGAGGAAGAGGAGGGTGCCATTAGTCCTGCAGTCCACATTGGCATCTGGTTTGCCACTGTGGAAAGAGAAAGCTGACCCAGAGATATTCTTAATACTGTGCCATCTCTGGTATGATATCCATTGTCATATGTTACCACTTTAGTTTGATGATATTTATACCTATTTCCCTGACTTCTCACATGGTACTGATTCTTGTACTGAGAGGTGCCTCAGTTTAGTATCTAGAACAATAGCAAAGAACTATTGTCCTCAAACCCTCAGAAAACACACTGAGAGCTGTAGGGAGAAAAAGCTATTAATTTTAGGCCTTGTGCTTCTAAAATGAAAGGCTTTCTGTTGATGCTTCTCAAAAGGAAATAGATATTTTTGTGATAAGTCACAATTCTTCTGGTTTCACCTGGCTGACTTCCCAGTGTCTCACACAATGTTAACCTTCAATACCAAACAGTCATTTATCCTTGTCCAGTTCGTTGAACAAATATGCAATTAAATGGATGGTCAGTGAACTATAAAAGTAATAACTGGGCTTCCCTTCCCAGTCACTGTTCTCATTTTTTTCTGCAATAAAAACACAGATAATTTTCAGCTAGAATCCTGGCCTGTGCAACGGAATTATTTTACAGGGGTGTAGGAAAGGTAACGTGGCCATCCAAATGTGATTAGGGTCGATGATCATTGAAGATTAACAAAAGTCTATCCTTGACTCACAGGGACAAGAAGAAATATTCTTTCTATCAACACATCCAGTGCAAAGCATCTGGATTTCTATAAAGATGTCTAAACCATTGTCTCCACAGATATATTTCTAGGATACTGCTTAGGAGAAACTTTTTTTAGTCACAATGGCCTTTGTTGTAAGCATAAATGAGATTTAGAATAAGTAAATTTTAGTTATTCAATCTGCAGTTGTACACATTACTTCAGCTGCAGTTCTAAGCGTAGTTAATCATCGTAAGACCCACTGAAACCAAGGAAGCTTATGTCTGAGTAAAATTCCATAAAGCTGCACTGTTAGTTGGGAGGAAATTAGGTTGCAACATTCTGCAAGAACTACCGATAAGAATATTTTTAAAAGAGAGATCAAATCAATCTAAGCAATAATTCCAAAGGCAGTGCCAAATGCAGTAAAACTTGCAAATATTCTGGAGTTTTAATTTAATATACAGGCACACATGCATGCACACCTAGAGAAAAAGTCCCGTTTTAAAAAAAAAATCAAAAGTTGTAATAAAATTTCAGATTCAGAGAAAGGTTCGGGAATATTACTTTCTTACTTTACTAATCCAGCTGTCTATTTATCAAAATGGCTGATTTCCAGTGTAATTCTGGTTTCTGGATGTCTGTGAAGAGATACGCTCCATTGATTTGTCCTCAGATGTCAGCCTCACAGTGACCTACAAACTTGATTTCATGGATGAGGGCTCTCAGTGTGCATATCTCCTACAAATCCCGAATCCATTCTTATTTTCTGCTCAGACTTGTCCCGTTCTTATCTGTATAAACCTGAGCGCTCTTGAGGTACAACAAGAACGCTCTCGCCACATAGTGCCTTTCTTCCAAATACACAGATTATGTGCAGAAGCTTTCTTACCTGCCAGTTTGCCCTGGTCAGTTCTCCTAAGCAAAGCTGGTGTGGTTGTATACCCCTTCTCCTGTTCACTGCTGTAATCCTTGTTTTGCTGCAGACTGAAAGGAAGTTACACCAAATATAGCCTGTTCGTGAAACTGAATGGGGCGTTGCTGCTCAGACAAGATCTAAACAATGGAAGAAACGAAATGTCACTGTCTCTAAAGCAAGAACGCTGAGTTTCCTGATGCCATTCATACCACCAAGGATCTGTCCTTCCCAGCACCTGATCAAAACCTTTCAGTTGAACTGAAGGGATTAGGGATCCTTACCATGGGCATTACCTCTGGCATGTGCAGAGATCAAGACAATTGTCATCTTTTATTGCTTTTACTTTAGAGGTTGGAGAGCAGCTACAGACTTAACAGAGGACGTAAAGTTTATTGCTATTCTTTTGATTTTGCTTATGCATTTCAACTCCATCTATAACAAAGCTTGCTTCACATTAAAAGGTGATTATTGATGTTAATTGGAAATAGTCAATATCCTGATAATACATTATTAGTATTCTTGCCCACAATAATATAAATATTGAACACCTTTCTACCACCACCACCCTTGCTGGAAGCGAAGGAAATGTCTCTATTTTTAAACAGTGTATATCCTGTGTGGTGTTTTTACATTGACCACCAGGAAGAATCCTTATTGGGACTCCTCAGAGGTAGGAAGCCAAGTGTCATTCACCAGGGTTGAAACCCTCTACCAGAAATTGAACTGACAGACCTTTGCACTTTAGATGATTACTGTACTGTATACAGCACGCTAGCTCTAGGAGCTATCCAGATCCTGGTGCTCAGTGGTTGCAGGAATCTGTCAGAATGTTCCATGCAGTCCGCCTTCCCTTCAGCTCTCAGACCATAGAGATACAGATGTTATGCTATGTCTACAGTTCCAATAGAAGAGAATATCTGTAGCTCAGGGTTGAACCGTGGAGTCCTTGGTTGTTTGCTTGCAGCGCTGATGATGTTACCTGGCCAGGCAATGAAACATCTGCAAGCAAACGACCAAGCTCAGAGAGCACCGACGACTCCATGTGTCTACAGTGACCATACATCCTTTATTATAAAGGACAGTCCTTTATTGCAGAAAGCTGTCCTTTAGATTTATTTATTTTTCGAAAACTCACTTTTGTCCTTTATTTGGGTCATTTAACTTTTATCATACAAATAGTAGCACTTAATGAACAATTTTTCACATTCATGAAAATTGAATTGTCTTTTTAAAATACATTTACATACACTACTTGATTTTAGATATTTTTTATTAGAATATGCATTTTTGTAAAGTTTTCTTGGTTTTGCTCTTGAATTTTCCTTTGTAATGCAAAGTTATAAACATAAACAATTAAAAAAATTTATCCTTATGAACCTCTTTCAGATTTGCCCCTTTTTCATGTTTGCCTTTATTTTTTCCACGACAATATAATTATAACTATAACATAGTCGCCATAACTATGCCGTACCCCTAGGATGAAACTGGTCATATAGTGCCTGCCTCCTGGTGGTTAATGTAACTAAAAGTAAAACATGAGTACAAAAGATGTGACTAACTCTAGACTAATGACATATTTCTTCCGTACAAGACACTGCTTCATTTATACAACTGGCTTCAGTTGATAAAGTTTCCAGTCAGGGTCATTCCAACAAGACAAGTGCTGGGTTGGGACTGAAGCAAAGGAAGAATGACAAGTCTTAGTGATTTTATTAGAGATTTGTAATGTTAGTGATCATTGTTTTTCTGCAAAAAAACAGCCCGGCTCATGTCCAGCAGCTGACCCTTCCATGGAAGTAAATGTCAGTAAATCATTATGACATGCAGGTGATTGAACTCTTACTGTAATGATAAGCCACATTTCATTCCACATTGATTCTACATTTTCATTCCACAAATTATTCACCTTTTATTAATTTTATTAATGTTTAAAAAGGAGATGCCTTTTTACCAAAGGAAGCATTTTACCAAAGAAAGAGTGAGAGACCAGTTTAGTATACTGGTTAAGGGAGACTATGAGTTCTAGTCTTCTCTTAGGAATGAAAGCCAGATGGGTGACTTTAGACAAGTCACTGTCTCTCAGCCCAACCCACCTTGTAGGACTGATGTTGTGGCAAAAACAGGAGGCAGGAGCGTTATGTATGCAGCTTGGAGTTGTACAAAAAAGAAGTGGAATATAAATACTGTATAAGAATTATAATTCTAAAAATGCAGCAACGCTAGGATTTCACATTCACTTTTCATTCTCTTTTTCTACTTCAGTAGGTGTACAAAAGAGGAAGGATGGCCAGGGACATCCACCCAGTGTGCATGCACACACACACGTGATCGCAATGGGAAACAAAGCTTATGCAGTGAAACTTAATTTGCGCTTGAAGCAAATTAACTGGGTCTTGAGGCTTTCTGTATGGTAGTGTCTTGAGCTCACAAACAAGGCTCGGAAGCATGTATGTTTCTGTGAAAAAAAATGCAGGAAAGAGTTATGTTCCTTCCTGCCAGTCTTCTATATGGGCCTTGGGACTCTCAAGAATGTATTAGGCAAGTTCAAGCAAAGCAGAAGAAATCAGCTCTATCACATGTAAAGGATGGATGAAGGGCCATTATACATGATGACTAAGATCTATGATTAGATGTTTCCCTTGCCGTTTAGGTCAATAGCAACCAATAGTGATGGTGGGAAGGTGGGTGATAACCAGCATGTGGGTGAGAACCGTGGCTTACAGGGTCCTCCCTGAACCATTTTCCCTAGTTAAAACAGCCCAAGTACAATCCAAAAATATAATAGCATTATAACTTTTTAATACATGGTGTACTTTTATGAACAAATCTGGATACAAAGTAGCCTTATGGCTAAGGCACAAAGCTTAGCAATTAAAAAGGTGCTTTTAGGATACTGTCATTTAAGAAAACTTCCAGGTAATACGGATCAGGGCAGCCAGGCCGTCTTGCCATTAGAGAGCGAATTCATTGAGAGCACAGTTCCGCATAGAATTTACACCTTAGAAAAACAGGTGCTAGGGGTTCAAGTTCATCAGAGGCACAAGGGCATTGCCTAAGTGCTACAGGGATTCCTTTATATCTGCCATCCAAATGCTCATTTTTGCACAGAGTTCAACAACATAATTTCCCAGTTTGTGCATTCAATTTGTTCTAAAGAGTCTTCCCAGGGCTTTTCAGATCTGTTTGAATTGATGTGGTGATTGAAAAAGAAAATAGATTTTAATATACTATAACAATGTAGAATTCATAACATTGTAATAAAGATGTTCATAATCCTAGAAATCCGCATGTTAGAGTTTTGTAAATACTTATCTGCTTACCTTCCATCTTTTTTATTTTATTTATTAGTCAAATGTATAAGGCTGCCCAACTCCCTAAAGACTGTGGGCAGCATGCAACATTAAAAACAACAGAAGATAACATACCAAGGAAAACAACCATTTGTGTTCAGCGGTTTCTCCATTTGTTAAGTGAAGCTTTGCTCAGAGTTGCTGTTCCAGTCTGTCAGGGATGTTGCACTTATTGATTTCCAAGGCACACTCAGAGCCGTTCTAGCCAAGGCCAAAATAAACATGTGTCACCACCTTCACTCCCTAAGAGAAACCCTTCTTAATCCTGCTACTTCCTTGATCTTATCAAAGACCTTTCTTTCCCCACCAAATTCCAATAAGTGGACACTGCCTAAATAAATAAAGATGAAAGTTTTTCACTTCCAGCTTCCGCTGTAGCTGACATTGATCAGAGCTCATAGTATAAACCTCTTTTAAAATATTAATGAGATGATATTTGGTATTTTCCTTCATTGCCATATATCTAACCATTTCCCCCAAAGTAACAGCCATTGTTCTTCCACTGTAACATATTTTCCATTTCTATAAGTCTTATTTTAGAATGTTGAAATAGTACAGAAATTTATCTTCCATCTTTTTTACCATTTCCTGATTATTGCCATAAATCACTTATTTGCACTAACTGAAACTTGTGCCAATCTGAAATATTTTCTAATATCTTTGTTCACTGGTGTTTCTGATAATAGTCCTGGATACAATATGCTTAAATACTCTATTTAGTTAGATCTAGTTAGAGACATCTAACTGTGAAACTATTATAACCCCTTATTTGGAAACTTCATTTCCTTCTTGGATGTTTCTAGATGAGGGTTGTTCTTTTTTTCCCCCTCTGTGTAGTTCAAGAGAAGGGCCCTAGACAATGTCATCTTCCAGTTGTAGCCACTCCAATTTTCCTGCTTGGTCTTTGGTTCTTTTTCTTACTGGGGAAAACCTGCTAAGGAGGAAAACAAGAAAAAACTCTGGCAGCATTAGGTGCTATTCATCTGGAAACTCCTCTTGCTCTCCTTTCGTTCAGTCTGCCTCTGCTGCAAATCCTAAGAAGAAGAAAGGAAAAGGAAAATTGAAGAAGAAAGAGCAGTAAGGGATGTAGCAGAGGAAAGAAACTCCCCTCCCCAAGATGCTAGCGCTGGAAAGGAGAGGCAGGGAGAAAAAGGGTGGGGAGGGGAAAATGTCCAGGGGTTGAATCTGACTTCAAGTACTTAGGACTAGGCAGGAAGGTAATATGTGCAACTGTTCTCCCCATCACTTCCGGGTTGTGATTTCCGAGGGGGGGATTGGTATCCCAGTGAATGCCCCAGTGGAACCTGGGCAATTTGAGAACCCACTGCAAAAATTATTGGCATTACTGATTAGTGAAAACCATACACAGGGCAAGAAATGGGTTTATTGTGATGTAGGAGCAATGATGGGGCTGAAAATGTGCTGGCAGGGTGGATAGTTCCAAGCTCTTGGTCAGAAGGAAACCAGCTAATGAACAAATGCATGGCTATTTTGGAAGACTTAAAGAATACCATCAGTCACTACCAACTGATCAACAGATTCAATTCGTTTTCCCTGATGAGTAGTAAAGCTCAGTATTGCAATTTAAATAGGAGCTGGTTGTTTACAGAAGAATTTCTGATGCTGAATCCACGACATTTGCTGGTCATAATTGTGCCTACACAGTATCATTCTTACTCTCTGCAGTAAAAGCAGGGAACAATTCTAGACAACCACGCTT